AGAGCAATTAGACCAATCAATGTGGGCGAGCTGGTGGTCGAGCGGGACAAGTGCGCGCACACACACGGCTGGCGGGAAGGGAACGCGGGTGGGGGAAGGCCGTGCCTGTCTGGCCCCTCCCTGGCTCGCCGCCAAACCGACCCTCTCGTCGTCTACTCTCTCCCCCGGAAGCCTGCTATTTCTCAGGCTAACAGCCGTCTCGGCACACAGCCCGCTGGCCATGTGCCAGGCTGACGTCATCGCACCCCTTTTCATCTCTGCTTGCCCCCGCATAGCAGAAGCCGTCTTCAAAGTCGCAACTAAACTGCATCCCAACAAACATGATTCACGTCTATTTACAAACATTTATTTTCGAAAAGCCAGAAAAAGTACAAATTTTAATAGCCAATAACCATAATTTATGAGGATCGTGTGTACTGCCCGGACACCGCCATTTAGTAGTATCGCCGTTTGTCCCTAAGAAAATAATTTTATATCAAAGGTATGTATGCTTACGAGAAGGCTGGGTTACTGGCAGTAGAACGTCCGAAATCAAAGGCCGACTGGGAGTATGTCGAATAGCTAGAGAGTGATAAATTCAGAGGAAAGAAAGTCAAACCTCGAGCCGCCGATATCACCATAGGTTGCGAAGGCTGAACGGGTGGTGGGCTCGAAGGCGCTGCGTGAGTAGGGCTCACGATGGCGCTCCGTACTAAATATAGGCTTAGCACTTACAAAAGTTTTCAATATTTCTAAAAAAATCCCGGTAAGATTCGATTTCGCCGGCGGAAATTTTACTTGAGCTTTTGCCATAACTATTTCATCTAACGTTTTCCGGCTGACATTAAGCGGTTTTTGGATGCAGTATCGAATTGCACTCAGAGAATGAGCAAAAGAAATCAAGATAGCCCAAAACTAACCTGCCTACACCACTTTCAAACGTGAATTTTGTGATAACCATTTTGCATCAAATTATGCAGCTCCGCCAGCTCCCACCCCCAAAAAAAACTACCTTCTGTAAGGGTCCTCGCGACGGGTGTATGATGAAGTGGTCTCGTAGGTACGCCTGAAAGTTGATGAAAGCCAATAATACTTGTCTTACGGGATAGGTGCCCTAGCCACAGGTCTGGAATTGGCAAGCGGGGCACCACGGCCGCGAGCACGTCCTCTGAAGGTACTGAACAGGATTTAATTTTCTAAGCATTTCTAACCCTCTTGTTCCGCGAGGGGCGGCTCCACGAGGTGAGCGGGTCGTATTCTCCCAGCGAGCGCGCTTGTCATTCGGATGGTCGTCAGCCTGCCAAAAAAGTCTTTATAAAATCAAAACTTTCTTACCCTCCGTTTAATCGAGCGCTTCTCGCGTTCCTTGCGCTCCTCCTCGTTGCGCTTTGTCATCTTGGCCTGGTAGACGGCCGTCTCGGCCGCCTTGTCAAAGACGGACAGGTAGTTCTTGTTCACTTCGACTAAAGCAGATTTAAAAGAGCCGGATTCCCGCACATACTGCTCATCAAAAATATTTGACACTTGGTGTCGTCGATCGAGATGAAGTGTTGATTCTGATGAGCGTCCATAGCATCTGTGGTAGTCGCGAAAGTGACAAGGGCGACGTTCTGTCTAAAAGAGGGGATTATTGTAGAAATTATACTAAAAAGCCTTGGAAAACATAATCAAAATGACTTACCCTCGTCCATCTTTGACAGCTTCTGCAGACTCTACGTTGAAATCCGAAAACCATTCCTTAGCTTTCTCCAATGTGAGCTCGAATGTTTCTGGCAGCACCTGAGGAATGCAATTATAACAGTAGGTAAGCCACTACCTTCACGATCAACTGTCTCATCGACAAAGTCTCCTCAATCACCCGTCCAAGTCGCTTTTCGAAATCATCCTTGGACTTTAGCGTTGTCTCGTCTAAAGAATGGATAAAGGCAAACGTCAAAATCCTTACGTTGTGGGAGATAGATTTTTATCCTCCTCTTGTGCGGGCTGCGGATATAGATAAGACTGCGCATCGCGGACGGCATGACGAGATGGTCGCGAGAGAAGGTGATCGTCACTTTTCTAAATGCATAGATTAAGCAAACATCTTTGGTTTGATACCCCTTATGTGCCTTGGTTCCATCAAAGCTGTAACGTTGCGGAATCTCGACATCAACGGATTCGGCCTTGGCAATGGCTCGGTAGAGGAAAGGATCGCGCAAATCAGTGAGATGTATGTTCTCCAAAATCACTTTCCGATGATCATTCTTTCCGGCACAAACTATAAAAAGAGGTTAACAAAGTAAAAAAACACGCACTTTTCCACTGAAACTCCGGCGCACCATCCCAATTTGTGGTATAGGCCACGTCATCGTCGTTGTCCTCCTCATAGCGTTTGACGAAGGCCTCACGTTCTTCCTTTAGTCGTTGCTTCTCAGCCTCCGGGTCGGGTTTCGCTTTATCTAGACAGAGATTATTATGTTGAAACAATGTCTTGCAGTAGGGGACAGGGTGTGGAGAGGAAATCTTTGGTCACTCGAATTCGAGCAATAAATTGTGACGCGCTGTGAGCTCGCGTTGGCCGAGTAAAATCAGTCTCGCTGGCAAATCGGCGACGATGCATGAAATTGCACTGATTCCCGGGAAGGAATGAAGTCCCTGAGGGCCCTTTCTGCAATTCAAAGCAGCGTATAAGGCAACTTCGAAAGCGCATTAACTCTTTCTCCGCTTCGAGAGTCAGTCTAGGACACCGGTTCAGTGGGACAATTTCGATGAACACGTGAATTCATCTGTATTTTTTCTGCCTCGGCGTCCCCGCCCCCAACTATTCCCCTGAAGAGAGACAACGCCTGCAGAAATCAATTGCTCCAAAAATCACTCCGAGGCCGATAATCTCTTTTTCATAATAACCGTGCCACCAGCCAGCGCTCCTCCAATGCTACCTTTGTTGCCTTTCTTGTCTTCCTTATTGGACTTGTTCTCGCCGCCATCTTCATCGGCGCCTCCAACTTCGTCAGTCAGCGTGAGGAGGTCGGCGTCGAACCAGTCCTGTGGAATTTCGTCCACCGATGATAGGCTGAGTGCCGACTTTTCCTCGGCCACTTTCTTCTGCGCGATCATGCGATGCTTGTGCACCTTCGTCTTGAATGAAATCAGCGCGCAAAGAGCATTTTCCTGAAATGAGAGACGTTGATGGGAAACGATGCCGTTGGAAAAGTAAACTTTGATTTTCACGCTTTTCTGCTATGAAAATCAGAATTCCTGTTCGTAGAAGGCCCGCGAGCCTTGGTAGAGCAGCTCAGCTGTTTTAATCCGACGAACGATAGCCCCCAAATAGGCGCAAAATCGGTGATTAGCTGCTGCTTTTCTTCCTCTTCGCATACCGCCAGTTGAGTGTATTTCGCAACCCTCGAAACTAAATACAAACATACCTGATCAGAGGCATCCTTTTTCAGCTTTGGCACACGGATGACTGCATCGATGTTGTCGCGGGACACCTAAAAACCGATACAAACGCAGCCACAGCACAAAACCTTGAAATCCGAAGAGAGCATCTCAAGAAGGGCTTCATTGAAAACCGCGTAGTCGTCTCCCATGAAATCACTGGGCAGGTTGGAAACGAGAACGGCACTAAAACCATAACATAGCCTGAAATCCCGATTTACCGGGACAAATCGAGCTTTTTCGGGTCACCGCCATGACGCTCGAAAAATTCCTCCTGTGTAATGCAGGGGACATCATCCCCGTGGTCGTTCTCGTCAAGCACTTCATCGTCATCAAGCAAGGACTCCTAAAAATGACGAGGTGTTCAAAAACGCGTTTTGAAAGACTGACCTCCTTGATCTCGTCATCGGGAGTCAGGGAAATGTCGCCGTTTTCACTACCGGTCATGTTCCCGTAGGAGTTGGACTGTTGGTAGCACGTCGGTCTGGAAAGAAGGGTTTTCTGAGGCACGAAATCGAAGCCTGCAGAAATGGAGAAGGGCAAATTTCAGGGGCGCGGAGGCGGTTATTGGCTCCAAACCGTTGGAGCCCAGTTTGTCTCAAAAATATGGTTGAATTGATCAGCGGTAAAGCAAGTCCTGGGTCTGAATTACTAGATATTCCGAAAAGCTACTTCTAATGCCAACTGAAGCTTGTTTTCGGGCTGTAAGGACCGCCGAGCAAAGTGGTGTTACTATGTGAGATCGATAGAAATGGCCGGGACGCATCGAAGGCGGAGCTCTGGGGGCTGGAAGGGGTGTCAAATAGCCGGGACAGACACGGAGAGTGGGGGAGGATTCAAAAACCCCCCGATGATTCGTTGTTTTTCCAAAAGCCTCGATCAATTGTCTAAATAATATTGATAATGTTATTTATTAAAAAATGAGGTCTGATCCTTACAAAACAGAGTCCTCGGAAACAATATATTTGGAAGGCAAAAAGACATTCCAAACTTTACAAATTACAAATTAGTTCGGTTTGTCGGTTGTAGTGTCCTTGTCACAAGCTTTTCTGGCTTTCGGCTTCATCTAACCGGAAAACCAGCCAGAAAACGGCTGTTTTTTTCTATTCCACCACGAAGTCCTATCCTATAGCCTTTTTCTGACTTCTCGGCCTTCTCGAAAATGATACTAAGCCAGAATAAAGGTCGTTCCCGATATTCTAGCGCGAATCCCTATCGTGTAGCCGTTTAAAATGTCGGAAATAGCGCAAATATGCTTAAAATGCATGAAAAGGCCCAAAAATTTCTAGGCAACCCATAAACCGCTGGTGTAACCCATACGTTACGCACCAGTTTACAGTCCAAGACCACCTTGTTTTACAAACTGCGTGGCGCCGCTAGCTAAAAGTAAGCCTGGAACCCTATTTCCATCATGTCAGATGCCCTTTTCCCTAACCATAGGCACAGATTAATCAGAAGGCATTGCGACAACCCTTATCAGCGCACGCCTGTCTAGCCCCTCGTGGGCCATGATCACAATGTGTTGCCCCTTATATATGGAAAATAAGGCCCCACGCACTTCTACGAGTATAGCGACGCCATCCCGACCTGCCTGATGAAGCATGTCATCGATAAAACAATCGCCAGGCTCATACGGACGGGTTCGCTGTTTACCGTTTCCCGCCTGAATTCTGGTGGCAACCGGGCTGCCCCGGTGCTAGATAACTATTATCAGTCGGCTCGCCTCAGCACTTGCTTTTTCCAGAATTTGACCCTTGTCTCGCGGTACTCATTGATTTAACGGCTCAAGTTGTTCACGCTCTAGAAAAAGCTCTTGGGCTCGTGGTTCAGACATTCTACGGCTTTTCCTAAACTAACGTTACTGTCCGTGTTTCAGAGTCCACTTCTCTCCGCGAAAAGCAGGCGAGGGCGCCGGCGCGGTCCAATGTCGTCCTACGGAGCGATCGGCGCGGAAAACGATGAGTGAGCTGGTCTCGAAAGCTAAAATACTTTTTCTAGAGTCGATGCGTTCTTATCAGACGACCGTCCCGGGATAAGAAGGGTCGCCTCATCTTCACGCATCCGGACAACAAGTTTGCACTTTTTCCATTCCTGCGATGGCTGGTCTAGGCGAATCTTCAAGAGCGAGATCCGACAGTCGTACCGATAGACGCCCATACCTTTACACTGGTATGTTTGTATATATTTAGCTTATTTTGTGCATCTAGGAGGCTTGGGCTTGTCGCGAGATGGTAGTACCCAGTCGCTAACCACCGATGAAGAACATCGAGACCATGCTATGGCAATTAGATACCGCCTGTTCAATCGATTGGACCCCGGTGGCGAAACTCTTGTAAGTGTAAGCTAACGTTTTCTTGACCTTAAATAATTTAGCGTATGCCTGATCACGTGGTTCCTCCGGACCTATTTTCCGTACTCCCCTTTGATGATTTCAAAGATGCGTCCGGAAAGCAGAGCAGCTTTGTTACGATGTACGTTACCTCTCCAATAATTGTTCATTGATGTTGTAGATTTTCTATTTGGAATACGATGATGGGCACCTCCTTGCTCGCCATGCCATGGGCTATGCAGCAAGCCGGCTTTGGCCTGGGTATCTTCTTAATTATTGCCGTTGCTGGGATTTCGCTCTACACCGCCTATCGGGTCGTTCAGAGTCCACAAAATTTGCGTAGGTTATTTACAGACTTTCTCGCAAGCTTTGAAATTTAGCATTGGGTGTCGATCCGTCGTTAGCGGAATTCAGCGATGTCTGTAAATATTTGTTCGGCAAACCCGGTGAAATTGTTGCAGTGGTGAGCGTGATATTTTATCTCTGAACTATTTTTCAAATTTAGCTCTTTTCCATTGCGGTGCTGCTTGGTGGTGTGATGGTTTATTGGGTGTTGATGAGCAACTTCCTCTTCTACACTGGAAACGTTGTTTACGGTATTTTTGCCACCTTATTGTCTATCTTTGGTTTTAGAAGCGCTGCAACCGAACAGTTCAACTATTCCGATCATGGAGAATAAGACCTGGACTTGCGATGGTAAAATTGCCCAATCTGATTTTTACCTCTTGTTCAGTGTACTGCCCGGAACAGTTCAACCAAGCCCTGTGGCCCGAGAAATTCAATGAGTTCTTTGCCGAGGACAGCCCTGGCCCCTGGTCGTTTGATAAGCTATGGCAACTTCAGGTAAATTTCGCTTTCAGAAAATGGCAACCAATTTTAGGGAACGGTCCCGATCTATCTGGCCGTGTTCACCTTCCCATTGATGAATTTCAAGTCGCCGACATTTTTCACGAAATTCAACGTTTTGGGTACGTCATAATTGTGCTTTTATGTTTTTCTTAGGTACCATTTCTGTGCTATATCTGATCGTATTCACCACGTCCAAACTGGTCGAGTGCGGATTTAACATTAGCTTTGATCCGGCCAGCAAGAACTATGCGCAGAGTAAGTTTTTTTCATACTAAAATTTAGTCTACCATTTTAGTCGCCAACTGGAGATTTCCGGCTCTCACAGGCACGCTGACATTGTCATACTTCATCCACAATGCTGTTCTTACGATCCTAAGAAGCCAGAAAAAGCCCGAAAATAACGTATGTTGCGAGCGTGAATCACTATACTATTCTTTATAGGCGCGGGACCTGTCCATCGGCTTTTTCCTGGCTTGCTTCTGCTATGTTTCAATCGGATTCATGTTCTATGCAGCATTCCCCGTTCAACGGAGCTGTATTTCCGATGTAAGCCCACGATCCTAGATAAGCAGCCGTTTTTTTTAGAATTTTCTGAACAATTTTGGGAGTGGTGATGTATTGAGCTCGACAGCCCGACTTTTTCTGCTGTTTCAGGTTCGTTTTTCCTTCAGGATTCCATGGCTTTTTAGATGATAACTGTGCTCCCACTTCTAATGTTCTTGGTCCGCTCACAAATTTCTTATTATGTTTATGGCAAAACGTGGCCTAGGTATTATTGCATGTTTCTTCGCCTTATTGCCATATATTTTAGCTTCACTGTGGTGCTTGTCTTGAACGTTACGATCATCACGATTGCTGTTTTGGTTGCGATGTTCTATCCTCACGTCGGAAGCTTATTGAGGTAAGTTTTAGCTCGAAATCGTCTTGGCAGAAATTTTTATGGAAGAGTTTTAAATGAATTTTCCAGATACGTCGGTGCCGTTTCTGGATTGGTGTATGTATTTGCCCTGCCATGCTTGGTGTATTTACGACGTTGCAAACTCCTGACCGGCCAAGTTTCGAAGACGCAAACCTACGTCCACTACGGCATTATCGCTCTCGGTGCCGCCAATTTAGTGGCTCAGTTTGTCATCTAATTTCCCCTCTCTTACCAATCTCCCCTACACTAACCCACTAACCGCTCATCTGTGATCCTGCCAGGGTTTCCATTTCAATTACGTAACCATTCCAAATGTTATTACAAAGTTCTGGCGTCCCAGCCAGATTTTGCCATAATGATGGTGCAATTGCTCTTGCAGCGTGCTGTAAACTTAAAAATTTATCTGTGATCTTTAGCCATCGTGTCGTATCGAATTAGTGCCTTTGATATTATAACTGATCGGGTAACATATTTCGCACCGTGTCATTTTGATATGTGACATAAATAGTACTATGCACTAATTTGGCGTGGTATCGGAAAGAGTTATTGCTACGAGTTATCGCAGGAAGAACCCAGATCCAAACGTGAAATTCAGGTAATGGGACCGGGCCGGCTCGTGAAGTTGTGCCGGAGGGGCGCTTCTTCTTACGTGGAAAGCGTACGCCTTCTCGATCACTGGCAATTGCATGATGATGCGTTATCTGGGTTCGTTTCCCATTCGCCTATCAACTGTTTTAGTGAATTTCCACGGGGTGCCTTCGTTCTGATGGTGGACAAAAGACCTTTGATCAAGAAAACGGGTTCCGACGTGCAGCTAGTCATGCATTCGTTCCGAGGTTCGATCATGCGTTAGTCATATTGATTTTTAGACCTCCGAAACAACCTTTCGAAGTATGGGCTGAACTTTTCGATTGAAAATTCTTGTTTGATCGATACGGTACAGCCGTTGAATCTCGACGAAAACTCTGGTTTACAGGTTAGCATTGCCTTTGTTTTTAAGTTACTTGCCAGGTGGCCTTGTTCGGCACATCACTCGAAACGGTCACGCCGCCCGAAGATTTGCCGGTGCCACCGGATGAGGTAAGTTCTGCATATGACTTCATTTTATTTAGCTTAGAAATGCGCTAGCGAGCGCTCTTGGCGGACGGTTTTTTGATCTGCGCATGGCCATGCTGACGATGACAAGCGAGAAACAGAGAAATTGGCTAGCAAAGGTGTGTCATTTTTGTGTTGCTAAGAAGTTGTTTTTCAGATGCACACCCTGTCGCAATTCAATCTGACCTATAAGCGCTGTCCGAAGTGTTGCACCAATCTGAAGAAGCGGATTAGGTAGCGTGATATTTTGTCGCTCTAAAATAAGTTTTAGCAAGTCGGCCGCAGAATGCACGTATTGCAGGAAGGTCTATTATCCAGCGGTACGTTAGGCTTTGTTTATTTGCGAATTTGCGAAAGACGATGGTTGGGGGAAAGTCTGATATCCGATTTTCAGTATTCTCCCGTTTCAATCTGCCTGGTTTCGGACCCTTCTAACGAGCATGCGTTGTTGGTTCGACATCGTGGTTCGGCCAATGGTGTCTACACTTGCGTGGCAGGATTCGCGACGGTATTTCTTTTCCTATGAAAAGAATCCCTTTTGAGACGGGTGAACCCTTGCACGAGACTTGTCGCAGGGAGATCGCTGAAGAGGTTTTTTTGCTATTTTCGTAGCTTGGATGGTTCTTTCTAGGTCGGACTCGAAGCGACGGATATAAAGCAGTTGGGGCTTTCACAACCCTGGCCAATGCCTGATAGCTCGCTCATGATCGGCTTCCGCGCCACCGCTGATAGGTCAGAAAAGGTAAGTAAGACCGCTTTTTCAAACTATTCAGATCTCGATTTTCGCGGCCTATAATCAATATTTTTCAGATTACGGTAGCTTTGGATGAGCTCGAATCAGCGGAATGGTACACGCGAGATGAGATCATGCAGGCATACCAGCGAACCATCGAAGACCCATTCCTGAAGGTAAAATTTTCATCGTCTTCCGGAATGAATGCCTTTTCAGGGCCTGACAAAAGATCCAGATAGCCGCCAGATTTTACGATATATCCCCCCAGCCGGGGCCATTGCACACACACTGATCAAAAAGTGGTTATTCAAGGAAATTTGAAAAGTTGTGATATCGTGAATTGTGTGATTTAGTGTTTTAATAAAATCAGATGCTAAAACCAAACATTATATGCCTATGAACTTGGGTAGTCATCCCCCCTTTATCTGGATATTCATTCGATCAAGCAACAAAAAAAAGTAGCAAACCGCTTTATTAGAAATGGAAGTTATCAACAAGATGGTTACTCTACTACCCAATGTCGAAGTGCTAAAGGTATGAATAACGCGCGGTGTGCAAACTGTCATTTTAGATCATCAACGAAACGCGCGCACGGGAGACGAAGAAAAAGAAGCACGACCAAGATTCTAAGCTAAGCACCCTACTATTCGAGGTAAATTTTGGTTCCTCAACTCACCTTTTCTTTCAGACGAGCAGTTATCTCAACCAAACCCCGGTGGCCTCACAAAACGAAGAACATTTTTGCAAGCTGGTAGAAGTACTGAAACCGGTTAAGGTAACTTGATGGTCCTGATGTGTTATCACAACTATTTTTAGCTGACACAGGCTGAAATCCTGCAGATCGCAAATCTTCGACCGTCGAGTAGCATCGAGCTTCAGTTGATTATCGAGGATTGTGAAGAACGGATCAAGACAGAAGAGCAGCTGGAGTTGTTGGTCCAGGTACTGATGTTTTCTACGGTTTCGATTTATTATTTAGAAAATCACTGCAGTGTTACCACCGTTGGCGCCAAAATCTGTGGACCAGGGCAAAACAACCAACGGATCGCAAGCGAGCTAACACCGAATACGATCGGGCTTATTTCGGTTTCGTTTTGGCGTGATTCAATGTTTTTTGTTGGGTTTGCTTTGTATTTTTACGATAAAGCTGTACGGGTTCACTCCTTGTAGACGCATTTCGGTTCGCTCCATGTATATTTCCGGAACTTTCCCGATGGTCTTAATACAGTGCCTTCAGGATGGTTGTCGAAGTTACGGCTGCCCTCTCCGGGCTCGATTGCATCACGGAAGTGAGCGAAACTTGGAACGCATTCGGCGCCGGACAGCCGTGCGTATTAGGTAAAGTGCAACGTCATCGTTGGAACTGTCATTTAGGAATCGATGAAGCTGGAAGAGGTCCAGTACTCGGCCCCATGGTCTATGGTTGCGCAATTTCCCCAGTAGATAAAGATGCTGAACTCCGGAGTCTAGGTGTGCGGGGTCGACGACGTTGTGAAAATCTCATTTAGGTGTCGATGATTCGAAAGCACTTACCGAAGCCAAACGAGAAGAGATATTTGACGACATGATCGATAACGGTGAAACGAAGCAGGTGTGTCCCACGTCGTATGTGACCCGTTTGTAGGTCGTTGCATGGGCAATACAATGCCTCTCCGCCCAGTACATCAGCTCGTCGATGTTGAAGCGCAACAAGATCTCTTTGAACGAAATTTCCCACAACTCTGCGATACAATTGATCCGGGATGCCTTAGCGGCCAACGTGAATGTGGTTGAGGTAAGTATTTACTGGATGTGTAAGCGTTGCGTTTAGATTTTTGTAGACACCGTCGGGCCGAAGGCTACCTACCAAGCCAAGCTGGAACGCATCTTCCCGGGGATCTCGATCACTGTGTCGGAAAAGGCTGATTCAAAATACCCAATTGTATCCGCTGCATCGATTGCTGCCAAGGTTTGGGTTTGTCCGAAATCATTTAAAAAAGAGAATAGGTGACCCGTGATCGCCGTCTCAGAGCCTGGGAGTTTCGTGAGACTGGCGTCAACGTCCCTGAAGCCGGATTCGGCAGTGGTTACCCTGGAGGTGATTTTCTTTCTCTTCGTTATGAGAGCCTTAGACCCGAACACGAAGAAATTTCTGGCTGGCGGTGTCGACCCGATTTTCGGTTTCTCTTCGTTGATCCGATTCAGCTGGAAAACGGCCGATTTGATCGTGGAGAAGCGATGCGCCAAGGCCGCGTGGTAATTTTTGACGCATTCGGGATTTTCGCACGCATTTTTTAGGGATGATGAAGATGCGGCGCAGTCATCGTTGAAGGGCTTCCTGTCAAGCAAGGGAGCGCTACCGACTAACCGTCACCAGTTTTTCCAAGACCGTCAGCTGCGATATACCTCTAACTTTTAATTTGATCGCCATGGTGTTGTATATAACTTTGTGTTTCCATTCTCATTCCGTTAAACTACAGGTCCTAATGCTGGTATTTTCTCACTTTTTGATCTCTTCTTCTCACTATTCTTGAACGACCAATAAATATACAAGACGCTGTTTGCTAAGAAAAAAATAGTGCTTATGCACACTATCAATGCCTTCACCGCTATATGACTTACTGAACAATAATTGTTTTTCAGATGTTAAAATTAAACCTAACAAATGTAGTGACGGCGGCATTTCTAATCTACATTGGAAATTCTATCTACCATTTTTATCAAATTTTCGTGCCAGAGCTTTGCGATTTGGCACAAGATACGGGCAACTGCTTAGAGGTATAGCAGTTCATCTCAAAAAAATTAAATGCTTTTAGCCCTTTTCAATAAAAGATAACGTGGTGCGGTTACGAGTTTACACCTCCCTGACCTCCAGACCCATCCCCCTGGGGACTTTGGTTTATGAGGAACCAGCTCTGAGAATCGATGAAGCACTAGAAAAGAAGGTTCGTGTCCGTTTTTCATCATAACTTTTTTCATCTTCAGATAAACATAAGTCTTCCTGGTCCCACCCTGAATAATGGCACTCTCTTCGTCCATGCTATCCTTTTACCATCCGACTTCGAAGGAGTAAATGTAAATGCGGTGATTAACCCGTTTTTTTTTCTGTACTTGGTGATTAGGCTCGTTGGCGCGTGATACAGAGCGGGTTGATTACAACGTACACTGAACCGATCCCGAAGACATTCAACCTGATGGGCGGAAACGATGAAGTGTCCGCGGCAACTAAGGCTAAGAAGGCAATCAAGGTTTGGATATCCGTTGCTATAAACCCGTCAATTTAGCCCATCGCTCATCTTCGGTCTTCTATACCTCTGGTGGGGCTGACTGGTTCGCCGATCTTCAAAGCCCGTGCGATCCCACATGAGGTCTATAGGTAGGTTCTGTGCAAGGCTTTAGAAAACAACCCATTTAGGCTGCTAGAGACTGATGAGGTCGATGGGCGTCTGGTGTATTATCCTCTCCTCTATTTGAACTCTCTGTCGTTCGGCTCGAAGAATATACTTGAGGTTTTTCGCTTAAATGTATGATCTAGAAATCTATTAGATCACTCCGACGCAAAAAGAATACGAAATTACCGTTGACTATCGCCCGGCTGGGGTCGGAAAGCTTCGACTAATGGTCACGGCCACGATGTCGATGATGCAGCTGAAAAGTATGGGCTTCAACGAAAAGGATTTGGACGATGTATGTTTCCCCGCTTTTTATCACTTACCGCTTTTCAGGTAAGAGGCCTCTTTGTCGACACGAATTTGTACCTGCTCGGCGTGACGTTCCTCGTTTCCGCGCTTCATCTGCTTTTTGATGTGCTCTCTTTCAAAAACGATATCTCTTTCTGGCGTCAGAAGAAGACGATGGAGGGGCTCAGTACAAAGTAGGCTGTTATTTTCCGTGAAAACCTTTTGAATTTAGGGCCTTGCTTTGGCGAGCTTTCTCTTATACAGTCATCTTCTTTTACCTTATGGATCAGCGGACGTCTCTCCTCGTGCTCGTCCCCTCTGGAATCTCTTGCTTGATCGAGTACTGGAAGTGCACGAAGGCGTTGAAGGTATGAATTCGCGGAATTGAAGTAAAGGTTTTTAGATTTCTCTAACTTTTATTGGTGGGCTACCGCGGATCAGTTTTGGTGCTCAAACCGCAAAGGAAGCCGAAACCGACGCGTTTGACGCTCAGGCTATGAAATGGCTGGCGCTTCTAATGTTGCCATTGTGCGTTGGGGGAGCGATTTATAGGTAGCTTTTTATTACGCTCGAAACATCCTTTGAACATTACAGCCTTGCTTACGTGCCACACAAATCCTGGTACTCTTGGTGCATCGAGTCGATGGCGAATGGGGTCTACGCGTTTGGCTTCCTGTTCATGTTGCCACAACTATTCGTCAACTACAAGCTGAAGAGCGTGGCTCATCTCCCGTGGCGTGCTTTCATGTACAAGGTTTGTTTCATTGCGGTTGCTTCAAAATGATTACAGGCCTTCAACACCTTCATCGACGATCTCTTTGCATTTGTTATCACGATGCCAACCGCTCACCGCGTTGCCTGTTTCCGGGATGACATTGTTTTCGTTATCTATCTTTACCAGGTTTTCTTTAGTCTTTCTTCTCAACCTGTATTTTTAGCGTTGGTTGTACCCGATCGACTACAAGCGCGTCAACGAATTTGGCGATTCAGGGGATGCTGAAGCTGAAGAGGTCCCGAGACCGGTAAGCCTTTTATTTCATGCATTTAATAGTTTGATTGCCAGAAAACACCGGAAACTCCAAAAAAGACGGCCCAAGCTATCCACCCCGAAACTCCAAAATCTAGACACGCGAAGAAGTTTGATTAATCCTTTTTGGATTGTAATAATTCGCTTCGAAATCTGTATTCCTGATTACGTGTATTCCTTGTGATATAATACCGTGATGATCTTCAAATATTCCAAACAAAACTCGGCAATTTATACGCGACGTGTTCTTTCAAGGGCGTTTCACCCAGCATAGTCCCTTCGTCATTTTGCGCCCCTCGTCGCGCTCCAATTGAACAGCAAACGCTATTAATCTTTCAAACTGGTTTATGGAAACGTTCCACGTCTTCACTCTTTTTCTAAAATATGGTTCCTTCTATGGTTGTTTTTAATGAACGATAAATTATTGTTTGAATGCGTCTCTACGGCGATTTTATGGTGCATGATTCGCTAAATTCATATTTTTGGAATTTATCTCATGTTTGTTAAAAAATTATTTTGTTCAGAATGACCACTACGGAAGGTGATAAGGTGATCAAAATCAACAAATGGGACCAAGTCACCGTCAGAAATAGCTTGGATGACACCGTCAAGGAGGTACTGTCTTGAACGAAATAGATAATAAATCTTTTAGATACTCAACAAGCGCGTCGGCTGGCAAGAATATTATTCGCTGTTCGATGGCCGCCTATTAATTTCATTCATTGCCGTCTGCTTCTCTGGATTTGCGGCAGCCTGGCATTACGTTGTACCGTTTGAGGAAGTGAAACCGGTTTGTGGCTTTCGTATCTGACATGAATCCGATTTAGGTGCTCATAATTTGTTCCACCGGCTATTTCATGACTGTTGGAATCCTACAGCTCTATCAATGGTACGTCGAACGAGGATGCTTCTACCAGGTAATATTTCATACTTTTTTTCTCTCATAGTCGATTTCAGGCAATGGAAAATGATGGGAAATTCAAGCGGGCATGGAAGTGGAGCAGCGACATGAAGAGGTTGACAGATATTCGATAGCTAAATAATTTATTCAGCTATGACGACAAATACACCCTCAGCGCTTCCTACTCGCAGGACAATCGCTCCGCACAAGGTGATTGAGATATTTTCGTTTTTTTATATAAACATTAAATAGGCAACGTCACCAAATCGATCTCGGCCTACATCACGGAAGACGGGGAAATCGTGAAGCCAATCCTGAAGTTGGAGATCGAGAAGCTGTACAAGGATTTGGTCCGAAACGAATAACAAAACCTAATTATTGGCATAATCGGTTTTATTGCTGTCTGTTTATCTTTGAGTCTCCTTTTCGTCGCTTTTTGTAACATTCAGCCGGGGTGGCTTTGTTGGACTGTGATTTTCCATGAATCCATATTTATTGATACTTTCTGCGTTTTCGGTTTTGAATGGGGCAGATAAATTGATGCATTTACGTGCTGGCGAAAAATTTGACAGATAGCTGTGGAAATATCGTCAAACATTGATAGAGACAAAAGGGGCGGGGTTGAGGGCTGACGCATCTGGGATTACAGGCTCCATCACAGGATCTATGAGCTCATAATACTAGTCAACTCGGAATTACGATGGCTCTTTTCTCAGGACCGCCGGTCTCGAAGGAAGCTATCTTCAGCATAGACCGCGTCAAGGTGACACTGATTTGATTTTACTTATTTTACGACCTTTAGTTATACGCTGAGACGGTTGGCCTGGCTGGTACAAGCGGCGAGGATAAGCTGACCCCTCATGTTAGTTTTTGGTTTTATGCTCTTTCAAATATTTTTCAGGCATATAAATTGCTATCGGAGGAGCTCACCGAAATAATGAAGAAAATCATCATCGACGCAAAGAAATATGCAACACATGGTGTGTGCTATTTTCTTGGTTTACTGTGTATTTTAGCGCGTCGACGGTGCGTAAGACTGGAAGATATCGAGCGAGCCTGCCGTGATCGGAATTTCCAGGTAAAGGGTGACGTGGTTGTCGATTACGTCTTTTAGGCTCCTTTGGGCAATGCTCTATCCGATACTCGCCATCTGAAGCGTCATAACTCGTCATCGACTGGTCCCTTCTATGGGTGGGACGATGCAGAAATCGACATCACGGTGACATTGACAATTTGGCAAAAAAACAATGTTTAGAGCTACCTAAATCGTCCGCTCATCAAATTCCCGGCCCCAATGCGGATCCGGTGTCATTGGCTAGCGTATGAGGGAGTTGTGCAGCCGGTGCCAGAGAATATTGTCCCTTACAGGGTGAGTCAGATCGGAAATAATTTTTAATTTATTTTCTTGGTTTAGGAAGATGCTGCCGAGACGGAGGATGAAGAAGCTGCAGCGGGAAAGCTGATTGCTCGACGAGATACCGCGAAAAGTAACCTTAAATAGTTACCAATTTTTTGTTTTGTTACAGTCATCCCGAAGTCCAGCGCCACCTTCCAATTTCGCGATGTACAGCGAGGCATCAAATGCCAAGAGGTCGTTGCTGTTCGGCCATTACCTCCGGCTATGCTGTCAGTGGTGGGTTGTTCACAATTTTTTACCTACATTTTTTGTTAATTTTCCAGGAGAAGCAAGCCTACTTGAAAAGCGTGATGGAAGCCTGCGTTGGAGCGCATGATCCGCTCCGCGTATCTGCCCTTCACTCGCTTGAAACGGATACCGGACTGCAAGACGGATTGCCGATCTTGGCGAATATAATCCAGAACGGGGTATGACCTTTAAATCCGTGCTATATTCTTCTTTATAGATAAAAGCCAATGTTGTACATCGCTGTCTGTCACTGCTCATCTACCTAGTCCGCGTCATCCGTTCGCTGGCAATGAACAAGAGCCTATCGCTGGACCCTGTGGTATGTTTTCTTGCGCTGTCAAAACGCAGCTATTCAGCTTCATCAATTCCTTCCGTCGCTGCTGACTTGCTGCATCAGCAGCTCACTTTGTGGCCGCCCGGAATCGGACAACCATTGGGCATTACGAGACTTTGCCTCGAAGACTTTAGTGATAGTTGTCAAGTAGGCGATCTGTGCTATTAACAATCTCTTTCTTTAGCTCACATCTAAAGACTATCCCTACCGTTCGGGACCGCGTGGTCCAGGTGTTGCGCAAGACTTTTATTGATAGCGAAAGCTCGGATGCGATGATCTACGGGAGCGTATTGCCTTTGTGTGATTTGACGACGGCTACGGAGGTATATTTCGAACAGTTTTTAATAGCAAGAAGCTCAGAAAGCCGACCTTATCGCCCGCTTTGATGAGCTTATGGATAACTGCCGTCGGATCTGCCCACCGGAAGTCCAACCGCACGATCTCCAAACATTAGAGGCTGCTAAGCTTCTTGCTGTGCTCTCGGTAGGCCGCTGGCTTCAAATTATAAACCTTTATTTAGAAAACTATGGAACCAGCTCTACGCTCCGTACGCCAATGAATCAACCATCAACACGAGCACAGCATATTTCCTCAATTCCCATCCCACCTCCTGTGATTTCATACTTACAACTAACTAACGGGTTTTTGTATACATACGTCTTGCTATTGCGATAAACTGTAACGTACCATATCTGTTTTCGAGTAATACGTCATAACGCGTACTATCAAGAATTATGCTCAGATTTAAAAATATATGTTTAGTATTAGGCTATGGACGGAGAGTCTAAGCCCAGCAGCCTGGCGAGCACTTCTCATGCTGCTGGCGCTTTCATCTACGACAGCGATTGGGTGGCATTTGTGGCGGCAAACATACAACCGACCGGAGATGGGGTATTTGTTGCAGTAACTCCGGGGTTATTCAGATTTCAGCTTGAGCAACACAGCCGCGAACTTGCCGCCGATTGCGTCAATAGCCGTCTAATGTAAGAATTCGCACGCTAAGCAACCTTCGCTTCTAGTCGTCTCATCTCTATGGCGAAGCGCTTTGCCATCCATGCTCGACGCTCGACGTTGATCCCCGAAGACATAGCATTGGCTCGAAGCTACTTTGGAGAGCAGGTCAGGAGTTGTCGGACCTTAAAATCTAAATTTTAGGAGTTTTTCGGGAGAAGGGAGGAGCGCCAAGCTCCAATATCCTCTGGCTTGGCGATTCCTGCAGGCGACTTGTACTCTGAGCCGTATACGCAACTTGACGTCTTCCAGTCGTGCCAATCCGGCTCCGTCAGGCTGCCAGCAAAGCTGCACATTAAACGTAGAAATTTTTTTGTAGTTTGAAACTTTTTTAGCACACTGGTTGGTGATAGATGGCGTTCAACCGTGTATCCAAGACAACCCGTTGCTCGGCGAAAATGAGGAAGCCGCCTCGGTAATCTAGAAATATTTTTTAAGACCATGGTTTTAGGACGATTTGGCTGATGCAAACCCGGAAAAGCTCGTCTTCCCACGACCGTTGGAGACATTCTATGCATCCGGATCTCTGGTTTATTGCCCGCCACCGCCACCAGACTTTTTGGAGAACAATCGAAAAGCCGCCTTGGCAAAAACGAGTGAGCAGTTGGTGTCTGATTAGCTTTTTTTGTTTTCTAAGTAAAAGTTTCTACCTTCTTTAATTTCAGCCACGATGACCCATCTCAATCAGCTCTTCTGGAATTCGCCTGGCAAGAAGGGAGCCTCTTTTCTGACCTCTCCACAAAAAGAAGACCGCGCCAATGATGCCAACAAAATGACGAACGCACAACTCAGCACACAATCGCACTTGGTACAGTTTTCGGAATTTGTCGCGTTGACCGTATCCATTTAGTTTGATCGAGCTTTCTACGAGTTGCTGGTTCGGAACGTGATGGGCGATGATGACGCTACGAGAGAGGTAAAGCTTCGTTCCTGCGCGAAATCTTCTTCCAGCATTCTTTGCAACTCCTGGCCGAGAGCACGGGTCTTCGATTGATCGTCCCGCGAATTACCGTCTATGTGTTTGAAGCGGTGAGTTTGAAGGGTTTTACTGGAAGCCTCCTTTTCAGGTCCGGTTCCACGTTACAAACGGCGATGTTGATCAGCTGATGTACCTGATGAAGTTGTGCCTGGCGCTCGCCACAAACCCGCATGTCGACCTGACGAAATCGGTAGACTTTCAAGGAGTTTTTCAAACATTTTTTAGTTGGTCGAACTGATGCCGCCCATTCTCAGCTGTATTTTGGCGAAAAAGCTATCCGACGATCCTACCAGCGATGAGCACTGGGCCCTGCGACGGTTTAGCGCGCAGATTGTCGCAATATTGTTCAAGTAGTCTACATAGTAGTGTCATTGAGTATTTTTGTTTAGACATTACGATGTGGCCGATTTTCACTCACGAACGATCAAGGCTTTGGCCGAGCCATGGGAAGAGAATGCGAATGCGGCATTGCCCACTCTCTATGGCTCGTTGTATACGTTGACGAGGCTGGGAATTCGGGTGTGTCTTTGCTTTATTTTAGCCCTTACCGGTATTTTACTTGGAAGCACCGTTTTATTTATTGACATTGCCGTTTAGGTCATGTACGAACTATGCTCACCTCATCTCGCTTCTGTCTACGACCGTCTGAAGCCTCTGCTCGAGTCACCGAGCTATCGGCCCGAAACTGACGAGGCTCAAGTCTTGCTGAAGATGATCTATGTGAGTACCAATAGCCCGTATTCAGGTAAACTATTTTTCAGACAGTATTTGCCGAATGGGTAATCGAGACTCGGCCGCCCAAGCTATGTTCACTAGACGATTTTGAGCAGCATTTCGGCGAGCAGCTTGGCTACGAGATTCACCGGCATTCGTTGGATCAGGCGGTTTTGTTGGGTGTTCAGGTATGCGCCGTCATTTTTAAAAGAATGCTTCTTTTGGATTCTTTCAATCTTTTTCGATTCGCGGTGTCATCGATTTTTTTAGACCCGGAACCTAAACATGCAACGCGCCGCGACAAGCCGCGCCAACCGTGCCGCATAGGCAGGATGAACCCTCAGTTTTTTTTGGAAACGGTTCTATATTTTTGATCGTCATACGTGTGCCGTACCATGTCTGTACATTATATTTGCTCGCACTTAATATTGTTATAAAATGAGCTTTTTGGAAACGTTTGGAAAACACAGGTTTGACGCAAAACAGCCAAAAGCCACCTTGCCCTACACCCGTATCCGGAACCGCCCGGGAATATTGGCGGATCTCTGGAATTCGGAGACTGCGTGATAGCGGCTGGGATGCAGATGATAGGGCGCCCTGCTCGACCCCCCCTTGCCGGAACGGCGATAAGCCGGCAGCAGCAAGGTGCCTGACCCTCGGCGCCTGTATTCAACTCATAATCCGATCGATGAAGCCTTTATCGCAGAATGTTTTTTTTCTGGTTGGCTGGCTACGCGCGTGGCTTGATGTTTTGCGCGTTTTGTCTAGGCATGAAGCGAACTTCCGACTTTTTCATGGAGAATTCTAAATTTTTGAAAAAGTGAGTTAATTTGGGGGAGGTCGAGCTTTTAAAGCCCTTTAAACCAATAAAGAAAATGTATAGGGTAATCGGAGTATAAAAACGACATCCTAAAGTTCATTTCTACATAGATTGGTATACTATTTAGGAGGTGAAGCAAATTTTGGATTTTTTAGGTTTCGTTGAATGGAAAAAAGGCTGGGTGTATTAAAGGGTTGGTATCTAGATAATTCGAAATATAGCCCTTTTCTTCAATTACCTAACCTAGCTTTCAATAGAATACTGCCTAGAACTAGATTTCCAAGATGAAGCTCAAGTCAGCTGGTTGAGGGACATCATCGTCCAAAGGTCATGGTCAATATTTGCTTGTAAAACGGGTAGCGCGTCACCTGTTGGCGCCCGATTTACAGCCCACTCCCCCCATTGCCTAGATATGGGGCGTCCCTGGAATCCGCGGGCTTTTGGCACACACCGAATCGGCCGGGGATTATTGGAACGCGCCGGTAATCTGGCATGTGTTATGCTAACGATTTTAACGGTTCTTTCATATATCGTATTTTCTGAGGATACTGTGGGGCTACAAATTATTTGCATACCTAGAAAGTTCATTTACCTTTTTATAGCTTTTTTAAAGTTTTTTTCTTTCGGCAAATTTTCCAGGGGATCAAATTTTGTAAAATTCTAGTCTTCTTATTTTATTTTTCTGATCTGGATTCTTTGACTTTTCCCCAATGACTCCCTTTGACTCTTATTTTTCTTTTCTCTGCATTGAATTCCCGAGCTTCTCACCCCCCCATAGCACACATAAAATTCCTGAAATTCCACATTTTTGGTCTAACCAATAAAGGGCGTGAGTCAGTGAAGCCGTGGTGGGTGTCGGCAACTTGGTTATGAAACAGACACCCACTTGGCCGGGAGAATTCCGGGCCGTTTTATTGGCCCAGCGATTAGGTGTGCTGGGCCCCCCGTGATTTTTGGTGATTTCTCGCGCTCACGCAACCACAGCTCATCGCTCTTTTTTTGGGGGTCGCAAGTCGACGATTTCAGGGATGGACCACCGGCATCTGCAGATTAACAACTGGCACCGAAGTCTCCACCAACATCGTGGGGATAAGCATGACGGATCTGAGGTTGGGTTTGGATGTTGTATTTTTAAAGGGAGCGTCACAGACGAAAAATTGCGAATCAGTAGCTTGAAAAGGTTGGAAGCGCAATGCTTGCTAGCGTTTTTTGGAGCAGAGTAAAAAAAACAGATTTTCCGACCGAAATTTTGAATTTAAAATTTTTTAAGCTTAAGGATAGTTTTTCCATTTTTTTTTTTTTTTCTTCCATAATTCTTTTACGGATATTTTTATAGGAAACCTCGATCGATAGCGCAATCGGCACGTCCACGCAAACGGAGATGACCTTCGATGGCGGGTATGTGATATTTTAAGGGTTCCTTCAAGCGTTGGGTAAAACAAGCGTATTGCTGACAATTCTGGGCTTGAAAACAATCGTAAACGTTGGGTTTTTATCTCGAAGAAATTAGGAAAAGGGGAACAGGATTGTATACAACAAGAAATAGATTTAATCAACCAGCAGTGCAGAGTAATTATTAAGTTCGAGGTTTCCGAGGATCGGGTATGGGTAAAATAAGTAAGTATACGTTAAATATATGCATTACTACAGCCGTGCTACATTTTCAAAAGGTTCTCTTTTGGGACCTGCTATAAATACCGCGGGGGGGGGGTGCGGCTGATCGGCTTCATCCCCCCGGGGCGGGTGGTCAGTAAGCTGTCGATTGGAATGTGCGGAATGCCCGGACTGGGGGTCTGTGTGATGGGGCTAAGTTTAGCATTTTGGGCAGCTGTGCTTGCGGGCTGGTCGCGCTTTTAGGAAGCCAGGAATGTTTGGTGAGGCGGGGAGGCAACTGTTCGTTTTTCCCCCCAGGGGCTCCGTGTTTTTGCTGGGCGAAACTTTTTCTGGGGTTGCCCTCCTCCAGATCGGCCGCCCCGTTCATGCCGAACGCCCAGGGGCAGTTGCCGAGTTTTGGCGGATTTGCCAGTTTCCGGAAACGAGCTGATTGGATTCAGTTTGTATTATGCTTTGATTTATTTGTTACTTGTTACTATTGCTTTGAATTATTACTATTTCTGTCTTGCGTATATCCGAAATATACCTAGATTAAATTTATATTATTTTTAAGGCAAATTAGCTCGGAAAAAATAGTATAATCGTATTCAGTTTTCCGGTAACCAGGAAGTATCAATTTAAAAACCGAAAAGCATTTCCATTGATGATATTTTATATAGGAAAGTAGCGGGCAAAAATAGTATAATTCAATGCGTAGAGAAGCTTATTCTGATTTTTCACCCAAATATCCTTACGACCTTTAAACAGTTTGTTAAATTAAAATTGCCTTTTTAATTTTGTACAATAAGCTAGAAGCTAATCAGTTTTTTCGTGTCCATTTTCCCTAATGACCTGCCCAATCCATCGACACCTCTCGCATCACGTGTCCTCCCTCAAGCGCCAGCTTAAAGCTGCTGTGCTGCTCTCGACGCGTCTTTTCCAGAATATCGCCCGCCCTGCCCTGTGCGCGCATACCGTGCAAGCCCGTTGATATTCCGGCGCCCGATAAATCGTGGGCTTGGGGAAAGAGGCCAGTCCGGCGTTGCGACTGTGAATGCCCGAGACGGGAATGCTGCTCAACTGTCTCCCACCATCTTTGACTACAGGTGAGAGAGGGTGGACTACAGGCTACAGGGGGACCCCAGGGGTTCATGGGTTCTTTAAACTGGTTCTTTCAAAAAGGTACGTCAGAATCACCACACGGGATGTAATTCCC